TCCCCCTGTCCCTGTCCTGGTGTCCCCATGTCCCCCTGTCCCTGTCCTGGTGTCCCCATGTCCCCCTGTCCTGGTGTCCCCGTGTCCCCCTGTCCCTGTCCTGGTGTCCCCGTGTCCCCCTGTCCCTGTCCTGGTGTCCCCATGTCACTCTGTCCCTGTCCTGGTGTCCTCCTGTTCCTGTCCTGGTGTCCCTGGGATCCCCTGTCCTGGTGTCCCCATGTCCCCGGGTCCCTGTCCTGGTGTCCCCATGTCCCTGTGATCCCCTGTCCTGGTGTCCCCCTGTCCCTGTCCCCATGTCCCCCTGTCCCTGTCCTGGTGTCCCCAGCCCTGCGGGGGTCACTGCAGGTGTCCCTGTCCCCCCAGCCGTGTCCCACGTCACCTCACGTCCGTGCCCACAAGTGCCACCAGAACCCCCGGTGGATTTATTGCTGTTTTTGCACCAACTGCCGTTTCCGTGTCCCAGCAGGACGCGGCTGCCATGGCTGAGGAGGAGCTGGGGAGCAGAGGTGCCAGGAAGGGCGCGCTGTCCCCCGGCAGTGCCCGGGCCGGTGCCAGCGAGTCCAGCACGCTGCTGCAGGAGCTCCGGGGCAGCATCTCGTAAGGGCAGCGCCGCAATTCCTGCCGGCAATTCCTGCCGGGAATTCCTGCCCCACAGGGGCTCCCGGGTGGGGAATTCGGCACCCTGCAGGGAGCACAGGGGACACAGGGGACACCAGCAGGGCAGGGGGGCCCCTTCCGGGTGCCAGGCCGGCCCAGCACCTCCCTGCTGTGGTGGGATCCATCCTGATCCCTCCTGGATCCATCCTGACCCATCCTGACACATCCTGGATCCATCCTGGTTTATCCTGGATCCATCCTGACCCATCCTGATCCCTCCTGGATCCATCCTGATCCATCCTGATCCATCCTGATCCATCCTGATCCATCCTGATCCATCCTGGATCCATCCTGATCCATCCTGATCCCTCCTGGATCCATCCTGATCCATCCTGATCCATCCTGATCTATCCTGGATCCATCCTGACCCATCCTGATCCCTCCTGGATCCATCCTGATCCATCCTGATCCATCCTGATCCATCCTGATCCATCCTGACACATCCTGATCCATCCTGATATATTCTGATCTATCCTGACCCATCCTGGATCCATCCTGGATCCATCCTGATCCATCCTGGATCCATCCTGACCCATCCTGATCCCTCCTGGATCCATCCTGACACATCCTGATCCATCCTGATCCATCCTGACACACCCTGGATCCATCCTGATCCACCCTGATCCATCCTGGATCCATCCTGATCGATCCTGGATCCATCCTGACCCATCCTGATCCCTCCTGGATCCATCCTGATCTATTCTGGATTCATCCTGACCCATCCTGATCCATCCTGACCCATCCTGGATCCATCCTGGATCCATCCTGACCCATCCTGATCCCTCCTGGATCCATCCTGATCTATTCTGGATTCATCCTGACCCATCCTGATCCATCCTGGATCCATCCTGACACATCCTGACCCATCCTGATCCCTCCTGATCCATCCTGGTTTATCCTGGATGGGGTCAGGAGGGCCTCGGGAGCCCTGGGAAGAGCCGGAATTGCGATCCCGGGGTTTTTTTGGGATCATCCCTGACTCTCTGCCTCTGTCCCACGCAGTAAATCCGTGCAGAGCAAGGTGGACTCCATCCTGGTGAGTGGAATGCGGGGCTGGAGGGCAGGGGCTGCCCGCCTCCACTGGCTGAGCCCGTTCCTGGGGCTCATCCCGGGGGCTCCATCTCCTTCTCCTTGTGCCGGGAGCGCAGCAGGACGTGCAGAAGTTCTCGGACAGCGACAAACTCTACCTGTACCTGCAGCTGCCCTCGGGGCCCAGCCTGGGAGAGAAGAGGTGAGGGGGGACCCCTGGGGTGGGGTCTGTGGGGTGGGGTGGGACAGGATTGGGAGGGGATGGGATGGGACAGGATTGGGATGGGATGGGATGGGATGGGATGGGGGGGGATGGGATGGGATGGGATGGGATGGGCTGGGATGGGATGGGATGGGATGGGATGGGATGGGATGGGATGGGATGGGATGGGATGGGATGGGATGGGATGGGATGGGATGGGATGGCATGGGATGGGATGGGATCCATGGGATGGGATGGGATGGGATGGGATGGGATCCATGGGATGGGATGGATGGATGGGATGGGCAGCTCTGGGCAGGTGAGGAGGGGACAATCCATGCCAGAACCTCTCCCAGCCGGGGAGGATGAGCAGGAAGGACGCCGTGACCCCCGGCCCGAGCACTCTGGGCTGCAGGACCCTCTCTTGGCTGTCACACAGGGACGAGTCTGGGCTGTCACACCTCAGCCGGGGAATTCCTGTCCCAGCAACCTTTAACACCTTCCTGAGCTTTAAGACGAAGACGTGGAACCAGTTCCGTGGAAAACCGGACAAAGGTTCACCACAACCTGGTCTGGTTTGCTGACAGGACGGGGCTGGAGCTGGGCCAGGGACGCCGCAGGGCGGATGTGCCGGGCTGGAGCGGGCACAGAGGCGCTGACGGCCTCTCCCCTGGCTGTGCCCTCCCCGTGGGACCCCCGGAGCAGCAGCAGCAGCAGCAGCTCCTCGCTGGAGCTGAGCGCGCTGGGCACGGCCGAGCACATGCACGCCTGCAGCTGGATCCGCAACCACCTGGAGGAGCACACGGACACCTGCCTGCCCAAGCAGGACGTCTACGACGCCTACAAGTGAGCGGGCTGTCCCCAAGAACCCCCCAGTCCTGGTGTCCCATGTCCCCACCTCCCTGGGGACACCCTGTCTTCGTGTCCCTGTGTCCCTGAGGATCCCCTGTCCTGCTGTCCCTTGTCCCCATGTCCCTACCTCCCTGGGGACACCCTGTCTTCGTGTCCCTGTGTCCCTGAGGATCCCCTGTCCTGCTGTCCCTTGTCCCCATGTCCCCACCTCCTTGGGAACCCCCTGTCTTTCTGTCCCCTGTCCCCATGTCCTGGTAGCCCATGTGCCCATGTTCCCCTGTCCTGCTGTCCCCATGTCCTGCTGTCCCATTTCTCCATGTCCCCACCTCCCTGGGGACCCCCTGTCCTCATGTCCTTGTGTCCTTAAGGACTCCATGTCCTGGTGTCCCATGTCCCCCTGTCCCCACCTCCCTGGGAAGTCCCTGTCCTAGTGCCCCACATCCCCATGTCCCCAGCCCTGGCATTCCCTGGCACTCCCTGTCATTCCCTGGCATTCCCTGGCATTCCCTGGCACTCCCTGGCACTCCCTGGCAGTCCCTGGCATTCCCTGGCACTCCCTGGCATTCCCTGGCATTCCCTGGCAGTCCCTGACATTCCCTGGCACTCCCTGGCAGTCCCTGGCATTCCCTGGCATTCCCTGGCATTCCCTGGCAGTCCCTGACAATCCCTGGCATTCCCTGGCAATCCCTGGCATTCCCTGGCATTCCCTGGCATTCCCTGGCATTCCCTGGCAGTCCCTGGCACTCCCTGGCATTCCCTGGCACTCCCTGGCATTCCCTGGCATTCCCTGTCCCGGGATTTGCCCCGTGTGACGCCCGCCCGTCCCCGCAGGCGCTACTGTGACAACCTGGGCTGCCGCCCGCTGAGCACAGCCAACTTCGGCAAGATCATCCGCGAGATCTTCCCCAACATCAAAGCCCGGCGCCTGGGGGGCCGTGGCCAATCCAAATATCCTTCCCCGGGCTGCAGTTGTGGTGCCAGCTGCTCTTTTCCTCATCTTTTCCTTTTTTTTTTCTTGTTTCTTCACGTTTTTCCCCATTTTTCTCCTGTTTTTTCCCATTTTCCCCATTTTTTTCCCATTTTTCCCCATTTTTTTCCCATTTTTTTCCCATTCTTTTCCCCTGGTTTTCCCAGTTTTCCTCAGTTTTTCCCCATTCCTGAGGGTTCTTCAGGGGTTGGTTCCTGGATTTTTGGGCTCGGGAAAAGTCCTTGACTCTTCCCAACGTACTGCTACGGCGGGATCCGGAGGAAGACCGTGGTCAGCCTTCCTCCCCTGCCCAGCCTGGATCTCAAAGTGACCGAGACCGTGAGTGCTCCGGGTGGGATGGGATGGGATGGGATGGGATGATGGGATGGGATGATGGGATGGGCTGGGATGATGGGATGCAGGTCCTGCTTTGCTCCGTGAATCCCCTCCTGTCCCCACCCCGGTGTCCCATCCTGCTCCGTGGGGTCATCCCTGTCTCCTGCCCTGCTCCATGACCCTCCTGCTGTCCCCTCCCTGCTGTCCTCCTGTCCTGGGTGTCCCACACTGTCCCTGTCCCCAGCAGCCAGAGCCCTACAGCCGCGGTGTAGGGGGTGACACAGTGGTGACACAGCGGTGACACAGTGGTGAGGGTGTCCCCAGCCCGCTGTCCCTGTCTGACGTCCCGGTGTCCCCAGCAGGCGGAGCTGGCCGAGCTGGCGCAGTCCTACAGCAGCGAGGTGACCGAGGCCGCGTGTGCCCTGACGTGCGACTGGGCCGAGAAGATCCTGCGCCGCTCCTTCAACAACATCGTGGAGGTGGCGCAGTTCCTGCTGCAGCAGCACATCATCAGCCCCCGCTCCGCCCACGCCGACCTGCTCATGGCCATGGTGCTCTCAGGTCAGCCCGGGGGACACCGGGGACCGTCACACCCCGCGGGTGCCCACCCCGGGGCGGGGACGGGCTGGTCCCGTCCTTGTCAGTGTCCCCTTCCACTGTGCCGTGTCCCCTCCCCGCTCCCAGTGTCCCCTCCCCCTTCCAGTGTCCCCTCCCCACTCCCAGTGTCCCCTCCCCATTCCCAGTGTCCCCTCCCAACTTCCAGTGTCACACTCCCCATTCCCAATGTGCCCTCCCCACTCCCAGTGTCCCCTCCTTACTCCCAGTGTCCCCTCCCCACTCCCAGTGTCCCCTGCTCACTCCCAGTGTCCCCCTTCCAGTGTCCCCTCTCCACTCCCAGTGTCCCCTCCCCACTCCCAGTGTCCCCTACTTACTTCCAGCGTCCCCTACTCACTTCCAGTGTCCCCTCCCCATTCCCAGTGTCCCCTTCCACTGTGCCATGTCCCCTCCCCACTCTCAGTGTCCCCTCCCCACTCCCAGTGTTCCCTACTCACTTCCAGTGTCCCCTCCCTACTTCCAGTGTCACACTCCCAGTGTCCCTTCCCCATTCCCAGTGTCCTCTTCCACTGTGCCGTGTCCCCTCCCCACTCCCTATGTCCCACTCCCAGTGTCCCCTCCCCACTCCCAGTGTCCCCTCCCCACTCCCAGTGTCCCTTACTCACTCTCAGTGTCCCCTCCCCACTCCCTGTGTCCCATTCCCAATGTCCCCCCCCCACTCCCAGTGTCCCACTCCCAGTGTCCCATACTCACTCCCAGTGCCCCCTACTCACTCCCAGTGTCCCCCTTCCAGTGTCCCCTGCCCGCTCCCCGTGTCCCACTCCCAGTGTCCCCTCCCCATTCCCAATGTCCCCTCCCCACTCCCAGTGTCCCACTCCCAGTGTCCCATACTCACTCCCAGTGCCCCCTACTCACTCCCAGTGTCCCCCTTCCAGTGTCCCCTGCCCGCTCCCCGTGTCGAGGTGACCGAGGCCGCGTGTGCCCTGACGTGCGACTGGGCCGAGAAGATCCTGCGCCGCTCCTTCAACAACATCGTGGAGGTGGCGCAGTTCCTGCTGCAGCAGCACATCATCAGCCCCCGCTCCGCCCACGCCGACCTGCTCATGGCCATGGTGCTCTCAGGTCAGCCCGGGGGACACCGGGGACCGTCACACCCCGCGGGTGCCCACCCCGGGGCGGGGACGGGCTGGTCCCGTCCTTGTCAGTGTCCCCTCCCCACTCCCAGTGTCCCCCTTCCAGTGTCCCCTCCCCGCTCCCAGTGTCCCCTCCCCATTCCCAGTGTCCCCTCCCAACTTCCAGTGTCACACTCCCCATTCCCAATGTGCCCTCCCCACTCCCAGTGTCCCCTCCTTACTCCCAGTGTCCCCTCCCCACTCCCAGTGTCCCCTGCTCACTCCCAGTGTCCCCCTTCCAGTGTCCCCTCTCCACTCCCAGTGTCCCCTCCCCACTCCCAGTGTCCCTTCCCCACTCCCAGTTTCCCCTACTCACTCTCAGTGTCCCCTCCCCACTCCCTGTGTCCCATTCCCAATGTCCCCTCCCCACTCCCAGTGTCCCACTCCCAGTGTCCCATACTCACTCCCAGTGCCCCCTACTCACTCCCAGTGTCCCCCTTCCAGTGTCCCCTGCCCGCTCCCCGTGTCCCACTCCCAGTGTCCCCTCCCCATTCCCAATGTCCCCTCCCCACTCCCAGTGTCCCACTCCCCGCCTCGGCGGCACCGTCAAGGTGGCGCTGCCGCTGCCCGTGGGCGCCGCGCTGGCCCCGGGCGGCGCCGCCATCCCCGTGCTCAACGTGCTGCTGCCCGGCGTGGGGGTCCCCGCGGCAGAGACCCCCGGCGGCGGCGCCCGCGCCGGAGGGGAGGGCGAGGGGCAGCGCGGCAAGGCCGCCAAGCGTGCCCTGGAGGGAGGAGGGGACGGCGCCGCGCACAAGAGGAGGCGCGGGAGGCCCCGCAAGAGGCCGGGGGACGCCGCGGGGTCGGCCGAGGACGGGGAGGTCCCCAAGGGGGATGAGGGCGGGGATTCGCCCCCAGGGGCGTCACCCGGGGGTGGCAGTGCCACCGTGCCCGCGGGGGACAGGGGCGTCGATGCTGCTGAGGGTGGTGGGGATGGCATGGAGGTGGACAGTGATACGGTGGCTGGGGGGGACAGCCCGGTCAGTGGCAGTGCCACTGTTCCCCTTGGGGACAGCCCAGTCAATGGCAGTGCCACTGTTCCCCTTAGTGACAGCCCAGTCAATGGCAGTGCCACTGTCCCCCTTGGGGACAGCACAGTCAATGGCAGTGCCACTGTTGCCCCTGGGGACAGCCCGGTCAATGGCAGTGCCACTGTTCCCCTTGGGGACAGCCCAGTCAATGGCAGTGCCAGCGTCCCCCTTAGTGACAGCACAGTCAATGGCAGAGCCAGCGTCCCCCTTAGTGACAGCACAGTCAATGGCAGAGCCAGCGTCCCCCTTAGTGACAGCACAGTCAATGGCAGAGCCAGCGTCCCCCTTAGTGACAGCACAGTCAATGGCAGAGCCAGCGTCCCCCTTAGTGACAGCACAGTCAATGGCAGAGCCAGCGTCCCCCTTAGTGACAGCACAGTCAATGGCAGAGCCAGCGTCCCCCTTAGTGACAGCACAGTCAATGGCAGAGCCAGCGTCCCCCTTAGTGACAGCACAGTCAATGGCAGAGCCAGCGTCCCCCTTAGTGACAGCACAGTCAATGGCAGAGCCAGCGTCCCCCTTAGTGACAGCACAGTCAATGGCAGAGCCAGCGTCCCCCTTAGTGACAGCACAGTCAATGGCAGAGCCAGCGTCCCCCTTGAGGACAGCCCAGTCAATGGCAGTGCCACTGTCCCCCTTGGGGAGAGTACGGTCAGTGGCAGTGCCAGTGTCCCCCTTAGTGACAGCCCAGCTGGGGGAAGTGCCACTGTCCCCCTTGGGGACAGTACGGTCAGTGGCAGTGCCAGTGTCCCCCTTAGTGACAGCTTGGTCAGTGGCAGTGCCACTGTTGCCCCTGGGGACAGCTCAGTCAGTGTCAGTGCCACTGTCCCTCTTGGGGACAGCTCAGTCAGTGTCAGTGCCACCAACCCCCTTGGGGACAGCCCAGTCAATGACAGCGTCCCTGGTGGTGGCTCTGCTGGTGGTGGCAGTGCCACTGTCCCCATTAGTGACAGATCAGTCAATGGCAGTGCCACCACTCCCCTTGGGGACAGCCCGGCTGGGGGCAGTGCCACTGTCCCCCCTAGGGACAACTCAGTCGGTGGCAGTGCCAGTTTCCCCAGTGGTGGCTCTCCTGGTGGGGGCAGTGACATTGTCCCTGTCAGGGACAGCCCAGCTGGTGGCAGTGCCACTGTCCCCCCTAGGGACAACTCAGTCGGTGGCAGTGCCAGTTTCCCCAGTGGTGGCTCTCCTGGTGGTGGCAGTGACATTGTCCCTGTCAGGGACAGCCCAGCCAGGGTCAGTGACACTGGGGACAGGCCAGTCACTGGCACTGCCACCACCCCCACTGAGGACAGCCCAGCCATTGACAGTGACACTGGGGACAGCCCAGCCAGGGACAGTGACACTGGGGACAGCCCATGCCGGGGCAGTGCCACCATCCCTGTCAGGGACAGCCCAGTCAGGGTCAGTGACACTGGGGACAGGCCAGTCACTGGCAGTGCCACTGTCCCTGTCAGGGACAGCCCAGCTGGTGGCAGTGCCACTGCACCAGTCAAGGACAGTCTGGCCAGGGGCAGTGCCACCACTGGGGACAGCCCATGCCGGGGCAGTGCCACCATCCCTGTCAGGGACAGCTCACCCATGGCCAGTGACATCGGGGACAGGCCGGTCACTGGCTCTGCCACCACTGGGGACAGGCTGGTCGCTGGCAGTGCCACCATCCCTGTCAGGGACAGCCCCTCCAGGGTCAGTGGCACTGTTGGGGACAGGCCGGTCACCAGGAGTGCCACCGTTACCAGCAGGGACAGCCCAGCTGGTGGCAGTGGCACTGTCCCTGTCAAGGCCAGTCCATCCAGGGTCAGTGCCACCACTGGTGACAGGCCAGTCTCTAGCAGTGCCACTGTCCCTAGGAGGGACAGCTCTCCCAGGGGCAGTGGCCCTGGGGACAAACAGGTGACTGGCAGTGCCACCATCCCTGTCAGGGACAGCTCATCCCGGGGCAGTGCCACTGTCCCCAGGAAGGACAGCCCCTCCAGGTCCAGTGGCACTGGGGACAGGCCAGTTACTAGGAGTGCCACTGTCCCTGTCAAGGACAGGCCAGTCAGGGGCAATGCCACCACTGGGGACAGCCTGGCTGGTGGCAGTGCCACTGTCCCTGTCAAGGAGGGTACATCCCAGGCCAATGGCACTGTTGGGGACAGGCCGGGACAGGCCAGTCAGGGGCAGTGCCACCACTGGGGACAGCCTGGCTGGTGGCAGTGCCACTGTCCCTGTCAAGGAGGGTACATCCCAGGCCAATGGCACTGTTGGGGACAGGCCGGTCACCAGGAGTGCCACCATGCCCATCAGGGACAGCCCAGCTGGTGGCAGTGGCACTGTCCCTGTCCCTGTCAAGGCCAGCTCATCAAGGGCCAGTGCCACCATCCCTGTCAAGGACAAGCCTGTCACTGGCAGTGCCACCACCCTGTCAGGGACAGCTCATCCGGGGGCACTGCCACTGTTGGGGACAGGCCAGTCACTAGGAGTGCCACCGTTTCCAGCAGGGACAGCCCAGCTGGTGGCAGTGGCACGGTCCCTGTCCCTGTCAAGGCCAGCTCATCAAGGGCCAGTGCCCCCATCCCTGTCAAGGACAAGCCTGTCTCTGGCAGTGCCACCATCCCTGGCAGGGACAGCTCGCCCAGAGCTAGTGCCACTGGGGACAAGCCTGTCACTGGCAGTGCGCCCATCCCTGTCAGGGACAGCTCCTCCCGGGGCAGTGCCCCTGTCCCCAGCCAGGACAGCTCGCCCAGGGCCAGTGGCACTGGGGACAGGCCGGTCACCAGGAGTGCCACCGTTACCAGCAGGGACAGCCCAGCTGGTGGCAGTGGCACTGTCCCTGTCAGGGACAGCTCACCCAGAGCCAGTGCCACTGGGGACAAGCCTGTCACTGGCAGTGCCACCATCCCTGTCAGGGACAGCTCATCCCGGGGCAGTGCCACTGTCCCCAGGCAGGACAGCTCGCCCAGGGCCAGTGGCACTGGGGACAGGCCGGTCACCAGGAGTGCCACTGTCCCTGCCAGGGACCGCCCAGCTGGTGGCAGTGGCACTGTCCCTGTCAAGGCCGGTCCATCCAAGGACAGTGCCACCACTGGGGTCAGGCCAGTCACTGGCAGTGCCACCATCCCTGTCAGGGACAGCTCATCCGGGGGCAGTGGCACTGTTGGGGACAGGCCGGTCACCAGGAGTGCCACCGTTACCAGCAGGGACAGCCCAGCTGGTGGCAGTGGCACTGTCCCTGTCAGGGACAGCTCACCCAGATCAAGGGCCAGTGCCACCATCCCTGTCAAGGACAAGCCTGTCACTGGCAGTGCCACCATCCCTGTCAGGGACAGCTCATCCCGGGGCAGTGCCACTGTCCCCAGGCAGGACAGCTCGCCCAGGGCCAGTGGCACTGGGGACAGGCCGGTCACCAGGAGTGCCACTGTCCCTGCCAGGGACCGCCCAGCTGGTGGCAGTGGCACTGTCCCTGTCAAGGCCAGTCCATCCAGGGACAGTGCCACCACTGGGGACAGGCCAGTTAGTGGCAGTGCCACCATCCCTACAAGGGACAGGCCAGTCTCTAGCAGTGCCACTGTCCTTAGGAGGGACAGCTCTCCCAGGGGCAGTGGCCCTGGGGACAAACAGGTGACTGGCAGTGCCACCATCCCTGTCAGGGACAGCTCCTCCAGGGGCAGTGGCAGTGTCCCCATCAGGGACAGGTCACCCAGGGCCAGTGGCAGTGGGGACAGGCTGGGCAGGGGCAGTGCCACCACTGGGGACAGGCCAGGCAGGAGCAATGCCACCGTCCCTGTCAGGGACAGGTCACCCAGAGACGGTGGCACTGGGGAGAGGCCAGGCAGGGGCAGTGCCACTGTCCCCATCAGGGACAGCTCCAACAGTGGTAGTGCCACTGTCCCTGTTAAGGACAGGTCAGCTAGAGCCAGTGCCACCACGGGGGACAGGTCAGTCTCTGGCAGTGCCACCACGGGGGACAGGTCAGGCAGGAGCAGTGCCACCATCCCTGTCAGGGACAGCTCCTCCAGGGGCAGTGGCAGTGTCCCCATCAGGGACAGGTCACCCAGGGCCAGTGGCAGTGGGGACAGGCTGGGCAGGGGCAGTGCCACCACTGGGGACAGGCCAGGCAGGAGCAATGCCACCGTCCCTGTCAGGGACAGGTCACCCAGAGACGGTGGCACTGGGGAGAGGCCAGGCAGGGGCAGTGCCACTGTCCCCATCAGGGACAGCTCCAACAGTGGCAGTGCCACTGTCCCTGTTAAGGACAGGTCAGCCTCTGGCAGTGCCACCACGGGGGACAGGTCAGGCAGGAGCAGTGCCACCGTCCCTGCCAGGGACAAGCCGGTGTCTGGCAGTGCCACCATCGCTGTCAGGGACAGCTCACCCAGGGCCACTGCTGTTGGGGACAGGGCAGTGAGGAGCAGTGCCACCCCTGGGGACAGGCTGAGCAGGGGCAGTGGCAGTGTCCCCATCAGGGACAGTGTCCCCATCAGTGTCCCCATCAGGGACAGGTCACCCAGAGACAGATCCCTGTTAAGGACAGCTCATCCAGGGCCAGTGACATTAGGGACAGGCCAGTCAGTGGCAATGCCATCGTCCCTGGCAGGGACAGCACAGCCAGGGGCAGTGCCACCCCTGGGGACAGGCCGGGCAGGAGCAGTGCCCCCCCTGGGGACAGGCTGAGCAGGGGCAGTGGCACCACTGGGGACAGGCTGGGCACTGGCAGTGGCACTGCCCCCATCAGGGACAGGGCACCCAGAGACAGTGGCAGGGGGGACAGGCCGGGCAGGAGCAGTGCCCCCCCTGGGGACAGGCTGAGCAGGGGCAGTGGCACCACTGGGGACAGGCTGGGCACTGGCAGTGGCACTGCCCCCATCAGGGACAGGGCACCCAGAGACAGTGGCAGCGGGGACAGGCTGGGCAAGGGCAGTGCCACCGTTCCCATCAGGGACAGGTCACTCAGAGACAGTGGCAGTGGGGACAGGCCGGGCAGGGGCAGTGCCACCACTGGGGACAGGCTGGTCACTGGCAGTGGCACTGTCCCCATCAGGGACAGGTCACTCAGGGCCAGTGGCACTGTCCCCATCAGGGACAGGTCACCCAGGGCTAGTGGCACTGTCCCCATCAGGGACAGGTCACCCAGGGCCCTTGGCACTGGGGACAGGCCGGGCAGGAGCAGTGCCACCGTCCCTGCCAGACACAGCCCAGCTGGCGGCAGTGGCACAGTCAGGGACGTGCCAGTCTGTGGCACTGCCACTGTCCCCATCAGGGACAGCTCATCCAGGGGCACTGCCACTGTCCCCATTGAGGACAGCCTGGCCACTGGCACTGCCACTGTCCCTGTTGGGGACAGGCTGATCACTGACAGTGGCACCACTGGGGACAGGCTGGTCACTGACAGTGGCACCGTTGGGGACAGGCTGGTCTCTGACAGTGGCACCGTTGGGGACAGGCTGGTCACTGGCAGTGGCACCGTTGGGGACAGGCTGGTCAGTGGCAGTGGCACCGTTGGGGACAGGCTGGTCACTGACAGTGGCACCATTGGGGACAGGCTGGTCAGTGGCACTGGCATCATTGGGGACAGGCTGGTTACTGACAGTGGCACCGTTGGGGACAGGCTGGTCACTGACAGTGGCACCCTTCCTGGCAGGGACTGTCCCTCCAGGGACAGTGGCACTCCTGGGGACAGGCCAGTCTCCGGCAGTGCCACTGTCCCCGTCAGGGACAGCCTATCCAGGAGCACTGCCACCATCGTGGACACGCCTGTCACCGGCAGTGCCACCCTCCCTGTCAGTGACAGCCCATTCTGGGCCAGGGGCGCCGCTGGGGACAGCACTGCCACCGTCCCCAGCAGGGACTGCCCGTCCCGGGGCACTGCCACCATCGTGGACGCGCTGGTCACGCTCAGTGGCACCGTGATGGACAGGAGGATCCTGGGCAGTGTCACCGTGCCCGTCAGGGCCAGCCTGTCCAGGGGCACGGCCACCATCGTGGACACGCCCGTCTTCGTCAGTGCCACCGTCCTCGTGGGGGACTCCATCCCCAGGGTCACTGCCACCATCGTGGAGTCCAGGGTGCCCGGCCATGCCACCCTCCCCCCTGGGGACACGCTGGCCTATGGCAGTGCCACCGTCCCTGTCAGGGAGTGCCTGACTGGGGACAGTGCCACCGTTCCTGACGGGGACTGGCCAGGCAGGGACGGTGCCACCGTCCCCATCAGAGAGGGCCCATCCAGGGACAGTGCCACCGTCCCTGTTGGGGACAGCCCAGCTGGTGGCAGTGCCACCATCCCTGTCAGGGAGTGCCCGTCCAGGGACAGTGCCACCCCTGGGGACAGGCACGTCACTGGCAGTCCCCCCATCATGGACACACCGGTCAGTGGCAGTGCCACCATCCCTGTCAGGGACTGCCCGTCCAGGGGCAGTGGTGGCACCCTTGGGGACAGGCCTGGCAGTGGCAGTGGCACCCTCGGGGACAGGCCCGTCACTCCCGTCCGCGTCAGCGTCATCAGGGATGGCAGGACGGGCACCAGGGTGGCACCGGAGGCCGTGGCACAGCGGGGACACAGCCGGGCCGGGTCCCCCCTGGGGGACACGCGGGGACAGTCCTGCTCCGGGCACCGCGAGGGACACACGAGGGCGGGCACAGGGAGGGGGTCCCCTGCGTCACACCAGTAAAAACCAGTAAAAACCAGTCACCGCAGTGTGTCTGTGAGCCCGGGCACTGGGAGGGGACACGGGCACTGGGAGGGGACATTGGCACTGGGAGGGGACACGGGCACTGGGAGGGGACATTGGCACTGGGAGGGGACACGGGCACTGGGAAGGGACATGGGGAGTGGGGAGGGGACGTTGGAACTGGGAGGGGACGCAGGCTCTGGAAGGGGACATTGGGAGCCAGGAGGGGACATGGGCACTGGGAAGGGGACATTGGCACTGAGAGGGGGACATTGGCACTGGGAGGGGACACGGGCACTGGGAAGGGGACAGTGGCACTGGGAGGGGACATTGGCAATGGGAGGGGACATGGGCACTGGGAGGGGACATTGGAACTGGGAGGGGACATTGGCAATGGGAGGGGACACGGGCACTGGGAAGGGGACACTGGGAGTGGGGAGGGGACATTGGAACTGGGAAGGGGACACTGGTACTGGGAGGGGACACTGACAAGGGGGATGGCATCCAACCCCCCCGGGTGGTGACAGCGACATCCGAGACGATTTTCCCCCAAAATTGCGGATTTTCGTCAACGCGGAACCCGCGGGGCGCCTTGGGCTTGTTCCGTACCGGGGCCACGCCCCCAAACAACACGAGACCACGCCTTTCAAACCATATATGGCGCAGGAACAGGCCCTCTTCCGCATCCGATGAATCGACCACGCCCCTTGGCGCTGCAAGCCACGCCTCCGCTCCGCACGCAGATCACGCCTCACATCCACATTAGCATTCAAACCACGCCCACATGACCATATAAGTACACAAACCACGCCCCCAAACACCCCCGGTAACAGACCCCGCCCCTTTCCCCGCGCCTCCGGCCCGGCAGGGAGCGCTGTGGCGCGGCGGCCCCTCAGCCCCGTGAGGCGGCGCCGGGCCGGGCCTGGGGAGCTCCGAGCGGCCGCGCTCCCGAGGTGAGCCCGGCCCCGCCGCACCGCCGCCGGTTCCCCCGCGGCCTCCTCCAGCCGCTCCGCCCGGTGCCCCCGGCGGTTCCGCGGCCCCTCCTCCTCCTCCTCCTCCTCCTCCTGCTCGGCCTCGTTCGGCTCCGTGGCGCAGGAGCGGGCAGGAAATGGCCTTTCCGTGGCTTTGCTGCTGATTGCCGGCTGTTTTTCCGCCTCTCCCCGCAGCAGCCGCCGGTGCCCGGGATGAGCCGCCCGCGCCGGCCGCAGGGCCGGGCTCGCCGAGCGGAGCCTCGCGGGATGGGATCGCTCCAGGTACCTCTCCCAAAAACCCTTTTCCTCTTCCTTTTGCTGCCCGAGCCCCGCTCCCCGCGGGGGAAGTGGCGCAATTCCCCTTCCAGAGCCTTTTCCAGCCGCTTTTCCTCAGCAGGATTTGCCAGCCCTTCCCCCCCCTCCTCCCTCCCGGGCCCATCTGGTGCCTCTGGGAGCTTTGGAATTGGCCAAAATCCCCTCTAAAATTACATGGATTACGTCAAATTTGGATTGGCGGGGGGCACTCATCCTCTCGGGAATGTTGTCCCTGGAAAACTTCGGCTGGAGTTGGTGGGAAGTTGAATAATGAGAAATAATTAACGTTTAACCCCTCCCTTTTTATACCCTCCGCTTCCCTGGAGTCCGGGAAGGAAGAACTGGGTGGAAAAGGGGATTTTCCAGCTTTTTTTTTTTTTTTTTTTTTTTCCCGGTGCTGGAAGTGTTTCTAAGGTTTTGGAGTTGTTCCTGGCGTGGATCCCGTGGATCTGCTGGAAACAGTCCCTGATTTCTTCCTTGGAATTCTGAGTGGGATTTCAGGGCTGTGCTCCTGGAATTCCTGGGTGATCCCTGCTCCAGATTTCCTGGATAATTTATGATCCCACAGTTCAGGGTCCGTGCTTGAATCAGCCCAGGAGCTGCCCTTGGGATCCGGGTGGATTCCTGATTTTTTTTTTTTTTCCCCCCCCTGCCTTTTCCCGGTTTATTTCCCAGCCTTTGGGAAAAACAAAAACTTGGAAAACCACCAAAAAGTGGGAATTTGTGTACGGGATGGGATCCGTGGGAGGAGGGAGTTCCAGCACTGTGGGATTGCTCCAGGCTCTGGAATCCTTCTGGCGTTTTTGGGAAGAGGCAAAAGCTTTGGATGTGTTTTTTTTGGGATGAGCCGAACGCTTTGGGAAGGGAGGGGATCCCTGGGATTTTTGGGTTGGAGCCATGTAAGGATTTGGGATCGGGATAGAAGAGCAAAATCTGGGATGTGTGAAAAAACAGATGGGAATTGTGGGGAAGTGTGGAATCCCGAATTTCCACCCCTGTTTTTTTGGGATTTGTTAAAAATTGGGAGCATCAGGGATTTTTTTTTGCAGGCTCTGATGGGGTTTTTGGGATCTAAGAGCCACAAAAATGTCAGGAATGTGGGATTTGGAGTGCTGGGAATGGGGGAACGGAGCCAAACTCTCAGACTTTGATCAGGATTTGGGCATCTGGGACTTCTTGGAGAAGAAGTGGGGGAAAAAAAAGAGGAAAAGAAGAAGGGAAAAAAAAGGAGAAGTGGCAGCTGGGAGGTGACCTAGGTTTGACTCACTTGGAATATTTAGGGAGAATTCCTGGGGGTTTTTTTCCTCCTTTCTTTGGGAGTTGGAAAAATAAAGGGATAAAGGAAATCCTTAAATTAACAAGGAAAAATCTGAAATTAACAGGGAAAAATCCTTGAGTTGGCAGGGAAAAAATTAACGTCCGTCTTCCCATCAGGAGTATCCCAGGGTTCTCCCCTTGAATCCCATCCCTAATCCCAAATTTTTCCTGTTTTTCCCCGTCATTGGGTCCTGCAGCCCCTCCACTGCTCCTGCTCTTGAATTCCCTCCAAATCCCATCCCTAATCCCAGTTTTTCCCAATTTAATCCCGATTTAATCCCGATTTTTTCCCGATTTAATCCAAATTTTTTCCTGATTTAATCCCAATTTTTTTCCCGATTTAATCCCAAATTTTTCCTGTTTTTCCCCATCATTGGGTCCTGCAGCCCCTCCACTGCTCCTGCTCTTGAATTCCCTTCCAAATCCCATCCTTATTCCCATTTTTCCCCGATTTAATCCCAAATTTTTCCTGTTTTCCCCCGTCATTGGGTCCTGCAGCCCCTCCACTGCTCCTGCTCTTGAATTCCCTCCAAATCCCATCCCCTAATCCCAATTTTTCCCGATTTAATCCCGATTTTTTCCCGATTTAATCTCAAATTTTCCTGATTTAATCCTGATTTTTTCCCGATTTAATCCCGATTTTTTCCAGAATTTTTTTCCCGATTTAATCCCGATTTTTTTCCAGAATTTTTTTCCCCGATTTCATCCCGTTTTTTTCCCGATTTAATCCCGATTTTCCCCAGATTTTTTTTCCCCGATTTCATCCCAATTTAATCCCGATTTCCCCCCGTTTTAATCCCGATTTTTCCCGATTTTTTCCCGATTTAATCCCGATTTTTTACGATTTAATCCCGATTTTTTCCCAATTTCATCCTGATTTTTTCCCCAATTTTTTCCCGATTTTTCCTGATTTAATCCCGATTTTATCCCAATTTTTTCCCGATTTCATCCCGTTTTTTTCCCGATTTAATCCTGATTTCTTCCCGATTTTTTCCCGATTTCATCCTGGTTCTTTCCCGATTTTATCCTGATTTTTTCCCGATTTCTTCCCGATTTTTTCTCGATTTCATCCCGTTTTTTTCCCGATTTCATCCCGTTTTTTTCCCGATTTAATCCCGATTTTTTCCTGATTTAATCCCAATTTCTTCCCGATTTTTTCCCGATTTCTTCCCAATTTTTTCCCGATTTCATCCCGTTTTTTTCCCGATTTTATCCCGATTTTTCCCGATTTCTTCCCAATTTCTTCCCGATTTCATCCCGATTTTTTCCCGATTTCTTCCCAATTTCTTCCCGATTTTTTCCCGATTTTATCCCTATTTTTTCCCGATTTCATCCCGGTTCTTTCCCGATTTCATCCCGATTTCTTCCCGATTTCATCCCGATTTTTTCCCGATTTCATCCCTATTTTTCCCCGATTTCATCCCGTTTTTCCCGTTTTCCCCCTCCCTGGGCCCTGCAGCCCCCCCGCTCTGGCTTGCCCTCCCGAGCCCCCCCTGATGCCGGTCTCTCCCGTCCGCCAGCTCTGAGCCCCTCCTCAGCATGGGCGACTCGGCGCTCGGGCAGAGCCCCCCGGAGCCGGGCGCTGCCGGCTCCTCGCTCAGCGTCATCACCGAGGGCGTGGGCGAGCTGGCCCTCATCGACCCCGAGGTGGCCAAGAGGGCCTGCGAGGAGGTGCTGGAGAAGGTCAAGCAGCTGCACGGCTCCGCCGCCGAGGCGCTTCCCAACGGGGAGAGCTGCCCCATCCGCTGCCTGGACGACCCGCCCGGCTCGCGCATCCAGGAGGAGGAGGAGGAAGGCTCCGGCGCGGCCAGGACGGCGCGGAAGCGCCAGAACCAGGCCAAGCAGTCGTGGCTGCTGCGCCTCTTCGAGTCCAAGCTCTTCGACATCTCCATGGCCATCTCCTACCTGTACAACTCCAAGGAGCCCGGCGTGCAGGCCTACATCGGGAACCGCCTGTTCTGCTTCCGCGACGAGGAGGTGGATTTCTACCTGCCCCAGCTGCTCAACATGTACATCCACATGGACGAGGACGTGGGCGACGCCATCAAGCCCTACATCGTGCACCGCTGCCGCCAGAGCGTCGACTTCTCGCTGCAGTGCGCGCTGCTGCTGGGCGCCTACTCCTCGGACATGCACATCTCCACGCAGCGCCACTCGCGCGGCACCAAGCTCCGCAGGCTCATCCTCTCCGACGAGCTGAAGCCGGCGGGCAGGAGGAGGGAGCTGGGACCCCTGCCCGGCGCCGACACCGGCCTCTCGCCCTCCAAACGGACTCACCAGAGGTCCAAGTCGGACGCCACGGTGTCCATCAGCCTCAGCAGCAACCTGAAGCGCACGGCCAGCAACCCCAAGGTGGAGAGCGAGGAGGGGGTAAGGCCTGCGGTGTTCCCGAGGGAATTCTGTGGGTTGGGATTGAGCTCCAAGGCTAGCCAGCAACCCCAAGGTGGAGAGCGAGGAGGAGGTAAGGCCTGGGGTGTTCCCGAGGGAATTCTGTGGGGTTGGGATTGAGCTCCAAGGCTCAGCCAGCAACCCCAAGGTGGAGAGCGAGGAGGAGGTAAGGCCTGGGGTGTTCCCGAGGGAATTCTGTGGAAAAGGCTGTTCTGGGGTTGGGATTGAGCTCCAGGGCTCAGCCAGCAACCCCAAGGTGGAGAGCGAGGAGGAGGTAAGGCCTGCGGTGTTCCTGAGGGAATTCTGTGGGGTTGGGATTGAGCTGCAGGGCTCAGCCAGCAACCCCAAGGTGGAGAGCGAGGAGGAGGTAAGGCCTGGGGTGTTCCCGAGGGAATTCTGTGGAAAAGGCTGTTCTGGGGTTGGGATTGAGCTCCAGGGCTCAGCCAGCAACCCCAAGGTGGAGAGCGAGGAGGAGGTAAGGCCTGCGGTGTTCCTGAGGGAATTCTGTGAGGTTGGGATTGAGCTGCAGGGCTCAGCCAGCAACCCCAAGGTGGAGAGCGAGGAGGAGGTAAGGCCTGCGGTGTTCCTGAGGGAATTCTGTGGGGTTGGGATTGAGCTGCAGGGCTCAGCCAGCAACCCCAAGGTGGACAGTGAGGAGGAGGAGGTAAGGCCTGGGGTGTTCCCGAGGGAATTCTGTGGGGTTGGGATTGAGCTGCAGGGCTCAGCCAGGAATCCCAAGGTGGAGAGTGAGGAGGAAGAGGTAAGGCCTGGGGTGTTCCTGAGGGAATTTTGTGGGAAAGGCTGTTCTGGGGTTGGGATTGAGCTGCAGGGCTCAGCCAGCAGCTCCAAGATGGAGAGCGAGGAGGAGGAGGTAAGGCCTGGGGTGTTCCCGAGGGAATTCTGAGGAAAGGCCATTGTGGGGTTGGAACTGAGCTCCAAGGATTGGTGTGTTGGGAAAATCCTGTAGTCCTGCCTTGGGATTCATCCCAGAGCTGGTCCAGAGAGGTGGAAGTGCCTTGGGATTCATCCCAGAGCTCCTCTGGGGTTGGGGTTGTGCTCCAAGGCTCAGGAGGCTGGGAAAATCCCGTGGTTGTTCCTTGGGATTCATCCCAGAGCTGGTCCAGAGAGGTGGAAGTGCCTTGGGATTCATCCCAGAGCTGGTCCAGAGAGGTGGAAGTGCCTTGGGATTCATCCCAGAGCTGGTCCAGAGAGGTGGAAGTGCCTTGGGATTCATCCCAGAGCTCCTCTGGGGTTGGGGTGGTGCTCCAAGGCTCAGGAGGCTGGGAAAATCCCGTGGTTGTTCCTTGGGATTCATCCCAGAGCTGGTCCAGAGAGGTGGAAGTGCCTTGGGATTCATCCCAGAGCTCCTCTGGGACTGGGGTTGTGCTCCAAGGCTGATCCCAGGATGAGCTGGGAATTCCCGATGGGAAAGGAGCCCCAGGCTGGTGCTGGAAGCGGCGCTTCCCAAATCTGGGAAAAACAAATCCTCCAGAGGGTGGAATGCACCCTAGGGAAACTGGGAATGACTGGGAATTCCCAGGAATTCCTGGGAGGTGGATCAGAAATCCAAGGTTTGATTCCATTGGGAATTCCACTGGGAATCCTTGGAAGGAGCCAAGGATTGTTCCAAGCTCTGAGAACTGGGATAAGGATGGAAGGAAGGATTGGGAAGGAATATTCCAGGCTGGATTCGGGATCAAAGCACCCAGGAAAAATCCGGGGCCGTTCCCGCCGGGATGAATTTTTAATATGGAAAAGGAGGAGGAGGAAACCGGAGCTTTTCCATAAATTATGGATGAGGAAACTCCTGGAAACGATCCTGAAAGAGCTGGGAAAGCACAAAACCAGGGAGACTCCAGCCCTGGATCCCGACTGTCCCTCAGAATCCCAGAGTTCTTGGAAGTGCTGGGTGCTTTTCCCTCTGGAATCCAGGAATTCCTTGGAAAAAGCAGGGAAAACTGATGGGAAATGATCCCAAAATTCACCAGGGAAGGGAAAATCGATGGAAAATCGTCCCAAAATTTCCCTCCCCTGGTGAACTTTGGGATCATTTCCCATCAGTTTTCCCTCCAGGTGGGATCCAGACCTGGTTGTCCCCCTCTTTTGGGAATTTTGGGGAATTTTAGCCTCAAAATTCCTGTCTTTTATGGGATGAAGCTCAATGGGATCCCTTTTAGGAAGAAAAACAGGAATTGGTGGACTCCAAGTGCTGGAATTTGGGGATATTTGGGATGGAGCTTGGAGGGAGATGTGGGAGTGGCTGGAAAACCTGGGATAAATCAGGAATCTCTCCGTGATAAAAAGGGCCTGAAAAATTGGGATTTTGGGAACTTTCGGGATCGTTTCCACGGGATTCGTTTGACGTGCCGAAATTCAGGATAAACTGCAACCCAGGGAAGGAAAAAAACGTGGATTTGGTGATGGAAAAGGTCAGAAATTCAAGGAATTTGGAGCTGGATCCATCCTGGTCCTTCTGGGCTGGGGTGAGGAATCCCAGAGAGGAGGAAAACCGGGAAAATCCCGGGAATTCAGCGCTCGGATCTGCTCCGCTTTGATCCCATCCCGCTTGGGATCCGTAGAACTTTTCCTTCCCGGAATTTTTCTGGTAATTCCAAGAGGATGGGACCAAAAAAAAAAACAAAAAACTTGGGAATTGCTGGAAGTGCACCTGGAGCTAAACTTTGCTTTTTCTCCCCCTTTTCCCTGCTCCTTCCCCCTCTTCCCCATGGAAAAAATTCCTCCCAAAAAAACTCCCCAAATCCCCCTTCTCCTGCTTTTCCCAGGAATTCTCCTCGAGTACGGAAAGCCTGGATAAATCCCTGGCTCCCGTAAGTTCCGATCCCGTTTTCCGGAGGCTCCCTCTACCCCGCCGCAGCATTTCCTCGATTCCACCCCTCTGGAATTTCCCGGCATTCCCCAGATATTCCCAAAAAAAAAAACCCAAAAAAAACCCAAAAAATCCTGGCGTCGCCACCGCGGCGTTTCCTCGGAATGGCAATTCCAGGAAAATTCCTTCCAGTTGGATAAAATCCAGGAAAATCCCATTTTTCCACCAAAATCCACCCTGGGAATGAGGGAATTCCGGCTTTTCCTGCTTTTCTGTTGCAGGTGGAAGTGGAAATGCTGTTTTTCCCTTGGAATTTGGCTCCCAAAATTCTCGGCCGGATGGAATTAATTTGCTTTTTTTCCATGTTTTTTTTTTTTATTCCTGCCAATCATTCCTTGATTCCATTCTTTCAATTCCTTTTTTTTTTTTCCATGAAAATTCCAATCGAATCCTGGTGTTTTCCCTGATTTTTCTCTCCCGAATGAACCCTTTTCCCATTTTTTCCGTTGTTTTTTTGGAATCTTTCCCTCTTTTCCCACCAGGATTCCCGGTGGGAATGTGTAGTCCATGATTTCCTCCAGCACGGGGAGTTTGGGAAGAATTCCATGATTTTTTTTTTAGGCTTTTCTGGGAATTTCTGGATTCCAGCCCAGCTCTGATCATGCTGGGGATTCCCAGGGATCATTCCCACACCTGGATTTGGGAATTTTGTCGGGATTTGATCCCAAATTTTGGGCTCATCCTAAATCCCACTGTGTTTAGGGATAATGGGATGCTTGGGAGGAGCTCCAAGCCTCAAATTCCCACCCAAAATTCCAGGAATTCCTTGATTTCCACCCATTCCTGCTCCTCCCAGCCCAGCCAACGGCTCCTCTCCAGGGTTTTTTTGGGAATCGATGGAAAACAGGGATAATTCCTCCTTCCCTATGGAATGTTCTGCTGGAGTGGGAAGGACCCTTGGGAATGCTGGGATGAGGAATGGGACGAAGAGGAAAATTCCCTCTGGCATTTCCCTTTGGAATGGGAAGAAGAGGAGAATTCCCCTCTGGAATGGGATGAAGAAGAGGAAGATTCCCTCTGGAATTTCCCTTTGGAATGGGATGAGGAAAATTCCCTTTGGAATGGGATGAAGAGGAATTTTTCCTCTGGAATGGGATGGAATTTCCCATTGGATGGAAGATCCGAGATCTCCAAGGTTCCCACCGGAATTCCAGAGGCTCTGAACGGATCCTGGCACCGCTGGAATATTCCTGAGCTTGGGAGAAGATCCTTGGGAAGCGTTTTGGGATCCCTGGAAAATCCAGGAACTGCCCTGGATCGAGGTGGGGCTGATCCAGAGGGATCCCTGGATTGATCCCAGATTCCTCGGGATATTCCGCCGGGAAAAGCATTTCCTGGTATTCCCAGGGAACAACACCCGTGGAAAACCTGGATGGGAGGAGCAGGAATATCAGAGCCACCGGAATTCCTTGGGAAAAGCCAGGAAGCATCCGTGGGGTGTCCCGGATTTTGCAGGAATGGGATTCAGTCCTTGGAGAGCTGAAGGAATTTTTGGGATCTGGCCGGGATCGGGAACCTCTGGAATATTTCTCCCGTGCCTGGAGCCGGGTGGGGGCAGGGCAGCCGAGCGTTATCCCGGAATTCCTGAGGGAATTTTTGGACGTGGACTACAAATCCAGTGGATTCCCAGCCGGGAATGCCCATCCCCATCCTTCTCTCCCTGATTTTCCCCGGTCCTTTCCTCTCGCTCCGTGATATTCCCGATTTTTCCGGCGTTTTCCGTTGCTCCCCTCTTCCCGGTCCGTGGCTTTCTGCATGCGCCGTTTGCAGCATGATCGGAGCGTCGGTGATCCCAAAATCAGCCCTTGGTCATTCCCGGAATCGGGAAGCTGCAGTGGGAATTTGGGATCGATGTGGGGAGGGGCTCCTGCATCCCAGGGAAATCCCAAATCCCAGGGAAATCCCAAATCCCTGGGGGATCGTTGGGATGGGACACCAGGGAGGGGTGGGGGAGAATCCTCCCGAATCCCGGGAATCCGGATGATCCCAAATCCTGGGAATCTGGATGATCCCAAATCCTGGGAATCTGGATGATCCCGAATCCCAGGAATCCGGATGATCCCAAATCCCGGGAATCTGGATGATCCCAAATCCCAGGAATCCGGATGATCCCAAATCCCAGGAATCCGGATGATCCCAAATCCTGGGAATCCGGATGATCCCAAATCCCAGGAATCCGGATGATCCCAAATCCCGGGAATCCGGATGATCCCAAATCCCGGGAATCCAGATCATCCCGAATCCTGGGAATCCAGATGATCCCAAATCGAGTCTGGATGATCCCAAATCCTGGGAATCCGGATGATCCCAAATCCCGGGAATCCGGGTGATCCCAAATCCTGGGAATCCGGGTGATCCCAAATCCTGGGAATCCGGGTGATCCCAAATCCTGGGAATCCGGGTGATCCCAAATCCTGGGAATCCGGGTGATCCCAAATCCTGGGAATCCGGGTGATCCCAAATCCTGGGAATCCGGGTGATCCCAAATCCTGGGAATCCGGGTGATCCCAAATCCTGGGAATCCGGGTGATCCCAAATCCTGGGAATCCGGATGATCCCAAATCCCGGGAATCCTTCCCTCCTTTTCCCTTTTCCCTTTCCCTCCTTTTCCCTTTTCCCTTTCCCTCCTTTTCCCTTTTCCCTTTCCCTCCTTTTCCCTTTTCCCTTTCCCTCCTTTTCCCTTTTCCCTTTCCCTCCTTTTCCCTTTTCCCTTTCCCTCCTTTTCCCTTTTCCCTTTCCCTCCTTTTCCCTTTTCCCTTTCCCTCCCTTTTCCCATTTCCCTTTCCCTCCCTTTACCTCCTTTTCCCTTTCCCTTTCCCTCCCTTTTCCCTTTCCCTCCCATTTCCCTTTTCCCTTTCCCTCCCATTTCCCCTTCCCTCCCTTTTCCCTTTCCGTCCCTTTTCCCTTTTCCCTTTCCCTCCTTTTCCCTTTCCCGTTCCCTCCCTTTCCCTCTCCCCCGCTCCCTCCCGGCTCCCGGCAGCCGGCGCGGCTGGCCCCGGAGCGGGAGTTCATCAAGTCTCTGATGGCCATCGGGAAGCGCCTGGCCACGCTGCCCACCAAGGAGCAGAAGACGCAGCGCCTGATCTCGGAGCTGTCGCTGCTCAACCACAAGCTGCCCGCGCGCGCCTGGCTGCCCACCGCCGCCTTCCCGCACCACGTGGTGCGCGTGCCGCACTCGCAGGCCGTGGTGCTCAACTCCAAGGACAAGGTCTGGGGATTGGGGATTGGGATTGGGGATTGGGAACGGCGGGGGAGCTGGAGCTGGTGATTTGTGGGGTTCCGGCACCACGTGGTGCGCGTGCCGCGCTCGCAGGCCGTGGTGCTCAACTCCAAGGACAAGGTCTGGGGATTGGGGATTGGGATTGGGGATTGGGAACGGCGGGGGAGCTGGAGCTGGTGATTTGTGGGGTTCCGGCACCACGTGGTGCGCGTGCCGCGCTCGCAGGCCGTGGTGCTCAACTCCAAGGACAAGGTCTGGGGATTGGGGATTGGGATTGGGGATTGGGAACGGCGGGGGAGCTGGAGCTGGTGATTTGTGGGGTTCCGGCACCACGTGGTGCGCGTGCCGCGCTCGCAGGCCGTGGTGCTCAACTCCAAGGACAAGGTCTGGGGATTGGGGATTGGGATTGGGGATTGGGAACGGCGGGGGAGCTGGAGCTGGTGATTTGTGGGGTTCCGGCACCACGTGGTGCGCGTGCCGCGCTCGCAGGCCGTGGTGCTCAACTCCAAGGACAAGGTCTGGGGATTGGGGATTGGGATTGGGGATTGGGAACGGCGGGGGAGCTGGAGCTGGTGATTTGTGGGGTTCCGGCACCACGTGGTGCGCGTGCCGCGCTCGCAGGCCGTGGTGCTCAACTCCAAGGACAAGGTCTGGGGATTGGGGATTGGGATTGGGGATTGGGAACGGCGGGGGAGCTGGAGCTGGTGATTTGTGGGGTTCCGGCACCACGTGGTGCGCGTGCCGCGCTCGCAGGCCGTGGTGCTCAACTCCAAGGACAAGGTCTGGGGATTGGGGATTGGGATTGGGGATTGGGAACGGCGGGGGAGCTGGAGCTGGTGATTTGTGGGTTTGGGCGCCACGTGGTGCACGTGCCGCACTCGCAGGCCGTGGTGCTCAACTCCAAGGACAAGGTCTGGGGATTGGGGTGGGAAAGGGGATTTGGGATGGGAAAGGGGATTTGGGATTTGACATGGCATTTGGGATGGGGATTTGGGATTTGGGATGGGAAGTGGGATTTGGGATGGGACATGGCATTTGGGATGGGGATTTGGGATTTGGGATGGGAAGTGGGATTTGGGATGGGACATGGCATTTGGGATGGGGATTTGGGATTTGGGATGGGAAGTGGGATTTGGGATTTGGGATTTGGGATGGGAAAGGGAGATTTGGGATGGCGTGATAAGGCTGGGAATGGTGGGAGAGCTGGAGGTGTCCCTTTCAGCTGGAATGGGGCCCAAGCCCCCTGGGAACCTCCAGCCTCCCTCTGGAATCTGCGCCTTTTCCTCCAAACCCAGGGATTTCCCCCAAAGCACGGCCCTGGAGCGTCCGGGGTTGTCCCTCACCCCCCATTCCCGCCTCCCCCAGGCTCCCTATCTAATCTACGTGGAAGTCCTGGAATGTGACAATTTCGACACGGCGAATGTCCCCGCGCGCATCCCGGAGAACCGGATCCGCAGCACGCGCTCGGCCGAGAACCTTCCGGAATGCGGGATGGGCCCGGAGCAGAGGGCCGGCAGCTTCAGCACCGTCCCCAACTACGACAACGACGACGAGGCCTGGTCCGTGGACGACATCGTGGAGCTCCAGGTGGAGGTGGGAGCGCCTGGAAGGGGCTTTTCCAGAAGGTTCTGGCCACCATGATGGCACCAGCGTGGTGGGAATGCTGGGAATGGGCCTTTCCAGAAGGTTCTGGCCACCATGATGGCACCAGTGTGGTGGGAATGCTGGGAATGGGCCTTTCCAGAAGGTTCTGGCCACCATGATGGCACCAGCGTGGTGGGAATGCTGGGAATGGGCTTTTCCAGAAGGTTCTGGCCACCGTGATGGCACCAGCGTGGTGGGAATGCTGGGATTTTCCAGAAGGTTCTGGCACCAGGGTGGTGGGAATGCGGGGAACGGGCCTTTCCAGAAGGTTCTGGCCACCATGATGGCACCAGCGTGGTGGGAATGGTGGGAAGGGGCTTTTCCAGAAGTTTCTGGCACCAGGGTGGTGGGACCAACCCCAAGGTGTCCCCAAGGAGGTGGGAATGTTGGGAATGGGATTTTCCAGGGGCTCATGGTGTCCCCAAGGAGGTAGGAATGTTGGGAATGGCATTTTCCAGGAGATCATGGCACCATGGTGTCCCCAAGGAGGTGGGAATGTGGGGAATGGGATTTTCCAGGGGCTTATGGCACCATGGTGTCCCCAAGGTGGTGGGAATGCTGACTGAAAATGGGATTTTAATTGGGTTTGATGGGATTTTAATTGCATTTTAGGGGATTTTTTTTGGGACTTGGTGGCATTTTCTGGGATTCTGTGGGATTTTAAGGGATTTTACGGGGTTTTGATGGGATTTGATGGCATTTCATGGGATTTTCATGGAATTCCTGCAGCTCCCAGAGATGCACACCAACAGCTGTGACAACATCTCCCAGTTTTCCGTGGATTCCATCACCAGCCAGGAGAGCCGGGAGCCCGTCTTCATCGCCGCCGGAGACATCCGGTGAGCTGCGGGAGAATCGGGAATTTCCCCTCGAAAAAACAAGGAATTCTGACGTGCCCCAGAGCAAAAATGCAGGAATTTTCCTGATAAAAACCCCGGAATTCTGACATTCCCCAGAGCAAAAATGCAGGAATTTCACTGATAAAAACCCCGGAATTCAGCTCCCAGAGATGCACACCAACAGCTGTGACAACATCTCCCAGTTTTCCGTGGATTCCATCACCAGCCAGGAGAGCCGGGAGCCCGTCTTCATCGCCGCCGGAGACATCCGGTGAGCTGCGGGAGAATCGGGAATTTCCGCTCGAAAAACCCGGAATTCTGACATGCCCCAGAGCAAAAATGCAGGAATTTTCCCTCGAAAAAACCCGGAATTCTGACATGCCCCAGAGCAAAAATGCAGGAATTTCACTGATAAAAATCCCGGAATTCTGACATTCACCAGAGCAAAAATTCAGGAATTTCACTGATAAAAATCCTGGAATTCTGACATTCCCCAAAGCAACAATGCAGGAATTTCACTGATAAAAATCCCAGCATTCTGACATTCCCCAGAGCAAAACTCCAGGAATTTTCCCTCAAAAAATCCCAGAATTCCGACATTCCCCAGAGCAAACATCCAGGAATTTTCCCTGATAAAAATCCCGGAATTCTGACATTCCCCAGAGCAAAAATTCAGGAATTTTCCCTCAGAAAAACCCCGGAATTCTGACATTCCCC